CTCCAGGATGGTCAGCAGTAGAGTCAGTAACATCATCATTGTGCTGCTGGTGGTTCAGTGTCTCTGAAAGACCTGGACAGCCTCTGATCAACACTGACCTCTTAACAGCTGAAAGCAGAGAGGCAGGACACATATGCAAACACACAGTCAGTCACATGGTGCTGAACTATACAGTCCATAATGCCTCCATTTTACTGTTGAAAGACATGCAAAGTATCTGTGATTAGGAAAAATTAATACTCTTGGGTAACCTGAGCTGTTGAAGTGTAAATGTGATGCCTTTTTTTTATTTCTTGACCTCTAAATCTCTTTTACGTTTGTGTATTTTATAACTATTTTAACAGGTTCTCAGTAAAAAATGAAACAAAATATTGTCAATGTTTTTTTTTACTATATTCAATAATTTAGGACATGTGAAATTCCAGGTTTTGAAAATAATAGTTGAAATGTATCTAAAAAAAAACATACTTATTCTACAGTGGGTACTTTAATTGGATAATTTTGCCTAAGGTAAAAATTATTTTATGGCAATCTTAAAGAAATATAGTATAGTATATAGTACATTTATAAGCTTACAGTATGTACTTTAAGCTCTTCTGCTTTATCATCAGCCTATTTGACAATGATCCACAAACAACAAATGTTTCGGTAAATATGTCAAAGAGCCTCATCAATCTGCAGTTGGAAGTTTTTTGTTCTAATGATCAATCAGTTTGAATCGGGTTTTGGAAAGGAACTAGACTGGATGTTGGAAGTTAATCTTTTATAAGATTTATTAACAAATTGGATATGGTGCTGTCATCTTTTTCTTTTGTTATATCTTTTCATGGTTGACGAATAGAGTGACGATCTTTGGCTGCCTGTATGGAGTTTTTCTTTTTTGCCATACTGGGTTGTTTGTAGAGGTGTGGCAGATAATGTTCTAGCCCTGGGGTCCTTTTCACGAAGCAGGTTTACCAAAAACTCTTAAGTTCTCGAAGTCTGAAAACAGGGAAACTCTGACTTTTCTCGTTTAAAGAGAGTACAAACATTGTATATTCTTCGTTAAACAAACATTGCAATGTTTGTTTGACGAGGACCTTATTTAAGAATGATCAGCATATTTTATATAATATTTTTTATTCTTTTTATTATAATATTATTATAATATTTTATATAATATTTTTTATTATATAATTTTTTTTTCTATCAGCATTTCTTTTATAATTAAATATTTAAAGGAAGAGGATTCTACAACTCAGTTGACAGGGCATGAGATTACTCGCTTTTTTTATATGAGCAAGATGCAAATCATTTTATTTCTATTTAGTTAAATTCACAGTACATGAAGAAGAACTACTGAAATTATTTTTAGATCACGTAAAAATAGATTCATTAATACCACGTGGGAAAAGGAATTACTTCAGGGTTAGGATTCACTCGATGATAACAACCTTATGAGCCTACTGGCACAATCTGTAGCCATTCAATGGGACTGACAGCCCCTAATAACAAGCATTTATTTGGATGATAACATCCGAAACACGGCTGAAAAAAGTATTTACTGTGTAAAAAGAGACTGAATTAACATGAGAAGGGATGCACAGGACCAATATATTTTAGAACAACATTTTGAGATTTCATCCTGACATGCTGCTAGAAGAATTCACCTAAATAGATACATTTATCTACTAGCATTAAAAAAATATTCCCCTTCATTCATTTCTATAAATTAATTTTATATCTCCATATCCCTAATATTACTGGTCAGGATTTTTAAATATGAAACTATGTATATCAGATATCATAAATACATGTTCAGTCAAGCTGATAAATGTCAGAACGGCCAATTAATTTGTATTCCCGATAAAAAAATAGAATACAAAGAATATTATTTTATTGATCTACAAATGGAACAACAGAGTGGACAGTGCTTTTAATAAATGTAAAAACAGCCTGCCATAGCCCACTTCATATAAACTTACTCATTAACTCAAGCAACAATCTTCTCCTTCACCATCTTTCTCTCCTTTAAACACATTCTCCTTTTTTTATTTTTTCATTTCTGCATTAAAATCTCCAGTTCCACTGGGGTGAAGTAGGCATTTCCTGTTGCCTGTTGTCATGGTTACTTGGCGCTCCACTGATAATGGCTTTTCATACTTGTTACGCATGTGCTGAAGTCTGAGTGGTTCTACTGGGAGTTGATTAAACTAGTTCATAGCAGCCATCGTGAAAATTAAAACTCAGAGTTTCTGACTTTAAACTAGATCAATTTAGAGTTGTGGATTTGAATCTGAGTTTTTTAAACCTGCTTTGTGAAAAGGACCACTTTGCGGAAACGTATACAACATTCTTGTTAAAAACATTTATTTAATTAACTTAATTTTCCTTAAAAGAAAAAAAAAAATTTTCATATTTAACCCCCCACCCCTTTAGTTGCTGTTCCTAAGTTTAAATCTTGTTTTAAATTATCTGAAAAACTTTATGGAAAATTTAAAATCTTGAAAATTGATGGGGAAAAAAACATGCATTTTTAATCTTTTTGCTTTCTGTGTCAATCTTTTAATCTTCCATTAGAAGGACACAACTGTCATTTTTACTGCATTAAGACCAGAAGTATTTAAAGAAATTACATAGCAAGTTACCAGCATCTAACCATTCAGAGCTTTTAATTTAGACTGGATATAACAGTTATAGAGACCAGTTTAATTCAAATCTTTTAGACTCTAAATTGGGAAAATGCATATTTATATGCCAATATTTAAAAGCATATTGATAACATATCTAAACATAAACTTCAACATAAGGACACAAGTTAGGTCATCGTACAAAGCCTTTAACAATATGAAAAGATACAATTATGTAAAGTAAAGATTATTTTAAATCGGTTATCAGGATTTTTTTTTTATCTGAAAAGAAAATAACCAAATAAACACATTTGTGAGACAAAAAAAAAACAGGAAAAAAAGGATCAACACATTAAAGACTGTTAATCAATTCCTTCATCAATTCATTGATTCGTTGTCTTTTTGATCCCAGTTCTTTTTCATTAAGTCAGATTATTTCCATAGAGCCACTTTGCATCAACAGCTCCATGCTCCAGTGCTCTGGGAGAGTTTATAGTCCTGAGAGTTGAACTCTGGATGATTGACAGCTGACCTTCATGACAACAGAAGACACAGAAATACTGCTCTGTAAAAACATGAGTGTGATCTGCATCCTCATCTGGACTCTCCTCTGCTTCACTCATGGTGAGGAAAATTATTTTCCATCACAAAAAAAAGGATATATATAGTGAAGCTAAGTTTCACCTCATTTTCTCATGTCCACTCTTTCTTCTCTCTCCTCAGGGTCTGACGGACAAAATGTTGTTTTGACTCAGCCTGCAGCCAAATCAGTGCAGCTCGGTCAGACTGTCACTATCGATTGTAAGGCCAGTAGGCAAGTAGGTCATTGGTCTGGTTCACAGTACTACCTTGCTTGGCAGCAAAAGAAAAATGGAGAGGCACATAAAGCTCTGGTAACCAGAACAACAACCAGATATTCAGGAATCTCCTCCAGATTCACTGGAAGTGGAGCAGGAAATGGAATAGACTTCAGTCTGACCATCAGCGGAGTCCACACTGAAGATGCAGGAGTTTATTACTGTCAGAGTGCACACAACATTAACAATAAGTGGGTGTTCACACAGTGAAAACTCATTGTACCAAAAACCTCCCTCAGTCTGACTGAACTGAAACTGAACTTTGTCCTGCAGCTGGAATTGAACACAGAAACTGATAAAGATCTCTGTACAAACAGATTTTATTCAATCCATCCTTTTTCTTATTTTTACCCTTCATGGTCACAGTGGGGCTGGTGCCCCTCTCCAGCTGCCTATGTGCAAAAAGGAGAGTACACCCTGGACAGGTTGTCAGTTTGTGACAGGAAAGCTTACATTTCATCAATCCTACATTAAGAGAGACTAAGATGAAAAGAAAATGCTTTCTCAAGGTTCAAGAAAGCTGACCAACCTCAAACATTATTAAAAGTTTTAATATTGTTTCAGTCATCCTACTAAAGACATGCAAGAGTATTTATCTTTTAACTAAATATGTATGAAAATATATACTGAATTGCTGCACATACCAAGTAAAGTTAAAATTGCATAACAACTAAAGGAATACAACAGACATAATAAAATAGAATAAATAAAACAAGCCAACGCAAAAACAGATTCTCATTCTGTGTTAAAACGCAATGTATAAAATAGTATTTTTTATTTTATTTTCTTTTTTTTTAATAGGTTTTAAAACTCGTTTTAAAAATAGACTATGAAGAGGATTGTCTAATGAGGAGGGAGAGCTCATTCCACAGTTTTGGAGCAGCAACTGAAACAGCTCAGTTCAGTTTATTTATACAACGCCATGTCACAACACGTCATTTCCAGGCACTTTACAGAGACATGACAGTCAGTATGGTTAAGGGTTTCTGTCAAGGTAAACCGGTTGATTTTAACGAGTCATTGACTTCAAGATATGATGCATGCAGCGACAGTGGAAAGGACAAACTCTCTTTTAATGTTGATGGCTGCAGCCCAACTGATATTTCAACCCAGGCTGGAGTTACAGGAACAGACCAGATGAAGCTATTATGACAAGACAAAGCAGAGATAACATAAAGCATTGGGCAGAACTTAACAAATACTGCAAATACTGCAGAATGGGAGAATAGAGACAGAAAGATGATAAATGGTCCATATGTCCTCCAGAAGCCTAAACATATATATATATATATATATATATATATATATATATATATATATATA